ACCAACCCCTCCTTAAAGCGGTGAATATAACTATATAAGATCCTTTGTGAATTTTCTCAAAGAAAAAAAAAAGAGAGAAGAAAAATGAGCCTTCGTGAATTTACTTTGTCATTTGTTACATCTATATATATTATATTCTTTATCATTGTTCCGTGAGCTAGAAAGAAAGAGGAAATGAAACAATAATTTTAAAAAAAAAATATGGGCCACGGTGCCAATTATGAAACCTCAGTACACTGATAAGGAAAGAGACATCAAAATTTTGAGGTGCAGGTTTGAGTTTTATCTTTATTTATTTATTTACAAAAATATTTTATTTATAATGAAGAAGGAGTAGACAATTTTATCCATAAATCATATGATTGATTGTAATTAATCTATTTGTATTAGATGTAAAAGAAGGAAAATGGAGTCGAGTTGTTCTTAAAGGTTCAATTAATTAATGTATCCAAGAAAGCTACAGTGTGGGAAATTACATTAATCCTTCAAACAACCTGAAGGGCCAAGTTAAGATTCCAACCCCTCCGTCGTAAAGCGGTGAATTAAGATTCTTTGTGATTGACTTGTCATTTCTTTTATATATATATATATATATATATTCTTGATATTAACAAAAAAATAATAATTTTTAGGTGTCTTAAATAATTAAAATTTTAAGATATTTTATATTAAAAATTCTTAAATCTAAATTTTTAAATGTGTGAAGAAGAAATAAAGAAAAAGAATAACGATTTATTGTTAAATAACTCACTATTTGATGTAATAAAAAAATTAAGAAAAAAGAATAAATTAAAAAAGTAGGAAAGTCTCAATAAAGCCTAAGCATATAAGGGAAAGTAAAGGCCACGTTAAAATTACGAAGATTTACATTTGAGTCTTATTGTATGCAGATTAGTTGAGCTTTTTGGTTAGTTTCATTTAATTGTTTATTAGTTATTGATTTGTGTTATGAGTCTCCGATATGTTACCTAGTCAATATAAATAATATGAATTGTAACTTGTTTTCGTGAAATAAGGTTTGAGAGGTCACATTAATTGAAGGGTTTCTACTGATCAAATTCTGAAAAAAAAAGGGGGGCGAGGGGGGGAGGGCAGAATGTAGAAAAGAGGCCAGGTAGAAATCTCTTCATTGGGAATAAGAGGAATGATAGGACACCCTTTTCAACACCCTTTTCAATAGTCTTTAAATGATTGAGTTATGTAAAATATAAATTTAATATAATTGGTGATTAATGATTGAGAATAAAATTAATATTTTTAAAATTTAATAATATAATCAATTACATTAAATTTATGTTATAAGTATTTCAATCACAAAAAAAATGTTAAGAGAGAATGTCCTCAGCATTCCTCTCAGGTGAAGCTAGCATCTATTTGAATCATTTGATGGTATTCTAATTGAGACTTTGAGAGCTCATTCTCTTCACGAAGGGGAAAGCTAAAATTGGAACTTTGAGAAATTCCATTCCCCTGAAAAATGGTTCGGTCCCAATCACATGGGCATAAAAGCTCACGAAATCAAAAGCAATAAGTAATCTTTTTCAAACTTACTTTATTTGGAATCGCTGAGACTCTAAGACTGTCAATTAATTATGTAGAAGGGTAGTTTTTAATTTTTTGAGTACAACTAATTCACTTTATTTTTTAGTCCTACATAATTTACAAAATAATTTAATATTTTGTGGTTCAGACTATTAAACATGAATTATAATATTGGGAGCTCTAAACCTAAGAGTTGGAATTACTAATAAATATAAGTTAAGTTTAAAATTCAAGTTTTAAAAAGAACACTTGAAGAAATTAATTTATCTTTAAAATCACTAAGAAAAGGAATAATTTTAAGGTGCACGAAAATTGATTTAGTGACCCATTGATGGTAAACAAAAAATATATATATATATATTGGGGCCCCTGCTTTTGCATTCAGAGACCTCACTTCATTTGATAGTTCACATTGTGCAATTTGAACTATATAGTTTTTTTTTTAGCAAAATTCGGTACATAGACGAATTGATTTTTCTTTTCTTTTTTTAATATATTTATTTTTACCAATTTTCCTAGGTAAGAAAATTCAAGATTCAAACCTCTAAACTTTTGAGTTCAAACAAATCCAAGAAACAAAAAAATGATTGGATTTGTTAAGATGGAAAATCTTATATTGCCGAAATCTGATCCAAGTATGGCCTACCAAATAAGCTTAACCTAACCCTAAATGCTCTAATATATATAGAATCTAAAATGAGAACAACGTTAGCCAATTACCGTGAGTCGTGACCTAGCGACATTTTTCCTTAATAAATGACCAAAACGTTTTGTATGGGCTAAAGTGAGAGAATAATTGGCTAGGAACCGAGGATACGAGAAAAAAAGGTTCATATTTTATAAGTTAGATTGTATATTAAAAAATATAATATAATTTATAAAATTATTAAAGTATTTTTAATAAAATAATATAAAATAATTTTATTAAATATATTTTAATAAATTTATAAATCAAATTACAATTTGAATATATGCTTTTACCTATAAAATATTATTTTCATCATAAAAAATAGTAAATTTATACTGGCAATGGCATTAAGATTATTCACCACTATCTACAGTATACTTTACGTGGCCATAAGTGTTTTTACAACCCCACATAACCGAACAATACTACACCACCTTTTGACTTCATGCCCATATGCAGATGGCGAAAAATGTCATCAAGAAAAGAAGAATGCCTAACGTGTCATAATTAC